TTCCCAGGCTGTCCTCACCGCAGCCTCAGGGACAATGTAAACACCGAGGTTTTTAAACTGTTCCACGTGGACTCCTTGCTGTGCTCAGCATAGCAGTCAGTGAGGCCGAGTCATCCCTGTGCTCGGAGAGCTCTGTGCTCTCAGATCAGGGGCGGAGGATGGCGTCCCGACCACAGCGCCCACCTGTGTGGACCCTCTTGCAGCTGTGGTCCCGTCTCAAGGAGCCCGGCCTCCTCGACCCCGTCCTCTCACAGCTGCCCCCCAGCACACCCACACAGAGGACTCCAAGAGCAGGGTGTCTGAGGCTTCAAGTCCAGGCTTGACCAAGGGGGAGTTTGGGGGCAGCAGGAGGACCGAGAGACCCAGGGAGAAAGAGGGCAGTACACGGGGAGGGACAGTTTGCGGGGATGCAAGAACAGGTGGATGCAAAGAGTTCAGCTGCCCCTCCAGCTGCCCGTTCTCCTTATTCAGAATGTGCAGAGTCACCGGGCACAGGGCAGGGGCGCTGGGCAGGCGGGAGGAGCTGCTGCTCAGACTGGTGAAGAGTCTGCAGGAGCTGGGTGGGCTGCGTCTGTGTACGGACTGCCGCCTTGTCCATCCCTGCCTCATGTTCTCCTCTTGGTTCTGTGTCCTTTCCCTGCAGTGTGGACCTGGTCCACGCCCAGATCCACGTGACCGAGGGCCGGAGTCTGCCCGACCTGGGTCTACGGCAGGAGAATATCCGCATCAACGGCTGTGCCATTCAGTGCCGGGTCACCACCGAGGACCCCGCCCGCAGCTTCCAGCCAGATACCGGCCGCATCGAGGTAGCGTCCACATTCTGACGTTCCAGCTGAGCAGCCGCGGGGCTCTGCCTGTGTAAGGACTCTCGGGCCAGACTGCTTCTGAGGGGCACGAAGTGAGGGAGGACCCTCTCTTGGGCTGGTCTGAATCTGGCTGAGAGTACATGGCAGCCAGGCCTGGTCAGAGGAAGGGAGGAGCACCCTGGGCAGGGGCTGCCATGTACACAGGCTGCTAAGCCAGTGGGCAGATCATCAGAACAGGGAGCAGAGCGGCTGGTAGAGCCAAAGGTGGAGTCCCCAGAAAGGAGGCCCAGGTCCTGGATTCTAAGAGCCCAAAGACAGGACGGTGCTGCTGGCCACTGTCCTGCCTTCAGAGGGGTGTGGCTGGCAAGACAACACTCGGGGTGCCGTGAAGGATTGGGGCCCTGAAGTCCCAGTGGAGGGGCCAGGCTGAGCAAGGGGACCATCAAGGATAAATGAGAGAGTTGGGGAAGTGGTGGACGGCAGGGAGGAGGCTGAGATGCAGGCTCATGGTGGGAGGTTGAGGAGGGCCCAGGCAGGCACCCCACATCTGGACCTGCGCCTCCTCCAGGGATACTTCCTGCACCTTCTCTTTCTCCTCACATAGAAAGCCATCTCTCACCCCTCCCCTGCTGGCCCCCCTTCCCTGGCTGAGGGCAGGAGCCCTCTGGCCTGCTCGGTGCCTGTCCCCTGTCCCCGCTCATGCTGACTACGAAGACCTCTGGATCCTGGTGCCAGCGCATGTCTCTGGCTCTGCTGCTGTATGGCACCCCATCTGGCCTGTGCACCCCCCTCCCCCACCCCCGGCAGGGCAGGAGCTCAGACTCTGCTCTGGGTGCAGGGAGTGGGGTGGGGGGCGAGTCTGAGATACTGGGCTTCTGAAGGCAAGTGGCAGGGCAGGGCACTGTCTGGATTCTGAAAGTTGCATAGAACTGGTAGGCTCAAGGCCAGAGCGCGGTCCAGACTGCTCTGCCCTCGGCCAGGAAAGGGCAGCCCTGCCCTGGACGCTGCCTTCCTCCACCTCCCCTTCCCAGGCCTGGCTCCTCCGAGCCTGGTTTACCACAGAATATTTTTAGCTCCCAGTTCCTGCTCACAGCTGAGTGTTCACCTTTAAATATTTTATTAAGTTCCTTTTTATCAAACACAGGCCCCTGTCCCTTAGAAGTGGCAGCATGGTGCAGTGGGTGCAGCGGGGCTCCCTCCCACTCCTTGTCTTCCTGCATGTGCCTCACAGGGTGCCCCCACCCCCATCGTGGACTTCATGTGTGCTGCAGTTACTCCAGACACCCCAAACCTCTGTCCCCCACCCTGTGGTCCCCTATCCATTAGGCTGTGTTTGGAGCCCCTATCTGTGGTCCCAGGTCTGCCTCTGACCCTGTGCTCTTCCCCTGCTTCCCTCTGTGGGCACCAGCAGAAATGAAGCAGAACTTCACAAGCCAGAGCTGGGATCCCTCGTGCATCCTGTGCAGCTGGGGCTGAGGCTGCGTCCGACTCTGGCTTCTGACCCAGTTCCTGAGCCCACCCTTCCCTCCCCACAGGTGTTCCGGAGCGGAGAGGGCATGGGCATCCGCCTGGATAATGCTTCCGCCTTCCAGGGAGCTGTCATCTCCCCCCACTACGACTCCCTGCTGGTCAAGGTCATCGCCCATGCCAAAGACCACCTCACAGCCGCCACCAAGATGAGCAGAGCCCTGGCTGAGTTCCGAGTCCGAGGCGTGAAGGTGAGAGGCTGCAGGCCCGGTCTCCCTCCGCTCGTTCCCATCCGTCTCTGCCCCTCCTGCCCTGCATGTGGACGCTCCTGGCCGCGCTTGGTCACTGCTGCTGCCGGCCCCTCAGCATCCCTGGGAGTCGGGAGTCGGGAGTCGGCCCTGCTCTGTGGACCCCACACGTCTCCTGCCCGTCCTGGGTGAGATCACCTGGCGGTGTGTGAGTCCGCATTCTCCCTGGCCTCCCTTCGGGAAATCCTGATCCCACATGTTTGGGTAGGGACCTCGGAGCCTGTGTTTTGAGTGGCATTGGGTGCCTCAGGGACAGCCGAGAAGGGAGGCTGCAGCCGCAGGTGTGAGCACAGGGCAGGAGGCGGCCGGGGGCTGCCCTGAGGCGCTCACCCTGGGTGGCCAGGCAAGGGCCCGAAATGCCTGTTGGCCTGTTGGTCGGATCCGTTACGGAGTCTGTAGCTAGAGATGAAGTGACAGCCATGTGCTGTCCCGAGGCCAGACGCTGCCACCAGGACAAGGCTCTGCCCGAGCAGATCTCATCGCCTAGTCTCACTGTGAGGGGCGCCCAGACAGCTCCACTCACCCTCTTCTGGGGGCTCCAAGGATGGTCACTCATAGCAGAGGGCGCCCGCCCTGCCTGCTGCGCACGAGGGGAGCTGGCTGGGCCCTCCGCTTCGTGTCCCCTCAGCTGCTCCCAGCCCTCCCTGTGGTCCAGGTGGGTCGGCGCGTGTGGGCGGTGCTGTCCTCGCAGCGCCCTGCGTCACTTCTCACCTTTGGGGAAAAGCAGGCAGGAGGGAAGGGGGCGGCGAGTCTGTGTCTGGCGTCTCCTCAGCTGACAGCAAACAGGTTCCCCAGGTGCTAGGGGGGGGCTCTGCGCTTTTCTGTGAGGTGCCTCAGGGTTCGGGGTCAGGGGGCCATTTCATGACATCGTGCGCCCACTTTCTCACCGAGGGCATGTCCTGGGGCTGCCTCCGGTTCCAGGTGGCCAGTGCACCCCGTGACCCCAGTGGGTGACCCAGGTACCCCATCCCTCACCTGCCTGGGCTGTAGGACTGCCTGTCCTTCAGCCTGGAGGACCCAGTACCTGAGAGTCCTGGAGGTGAAGCGGGAAGACCAGGGCCGTGAGAGCCACAAGAAGGCGGGAGGGCAGTGCAGGACACGGGTTTCTGGTTCCTGGGGGCACCAGTGTCTTCAGATGTGCACCAAGACCTGGCCACTGGCTCCTGTCACACCTCGAGCCTCCGCCAACCCTGCACTCGCTGCTCTGTGCCGCCCGTCTCTGTCCAGGCCTCGCGGGGCTCACGCTCCCTTCTCTTCTCTGCTGAGAACCTTGTTTCATTTACTTAAACCAGGGTCGCTCTCGGGATACATCCAGGTATGTGTCTGGGCTGGGAGGGCAGGCACGTGTGTGTCACCACTGCGCCACCCACAACTGTGTGAGCTTGACCTGCACACGTGTGTGTACACACCTTATTATGCCAACTCTTACCAGGCTGCTCATCAGAAACACCATGGGCCTCACACAGAAATGGGCACATACCCCCAGGCGCCAGTGCAGGTCCTGGGTGCCAGCGCCCGCCTTTTGTGGTGGAGCCCGGGCACCTGCACCTTCTTGAAGCATCTGGGTACGCCTGGCGCGGGGTGCAGCAGCACAGGTGCCTGCGAGTATGTGTGTTGGGAGCACTGTTCCTCCCAGCTGACGCCCAGGAGCAGTGATTGTTCGGATGGCTGGCAGGGCTATGCCTGGGGCCAGAGGAAGCAAAACAAGGCAGCCTCCGGTGGACTGTGGCTCCTCAGCATGGGAGCTAGCGCAGGGTGTGGCCCGGCAGGTAGGGGGCACCCGTGTCCCAGAGGGAGGTTTGACTCAGTCTCTCCAGCCCAGCCCAGCCCAAAACCTGGGGTGTCAATGGAGCAACTGGGGGCTGGCTCAGGGCCTGTAGCACTGGCAGGAACCTTCCAGAGGGTTGTGGGCAGTGAGATTCCAAACCCGTCCCCGTCCCTTTAGGATGACATGCTACAAATCCCTGGGAGATGGTGAATAAGATTGTCACAGGCGCAGGGACTTTCTTACTGAGCTGTGTAAGCAATGATGCGAGCCCAAGTCCCTGTGCCCTAAAGGGCTGTGCCATCTCCCACCTGCTCCTGTGGCCACTCTGTGCCCTATAACACCCCTGCCACCATGAGGACGTCACATCCTGTCCACAGTCTGCCAGGAAGGGTGTGCTCTGTGCTTACAGCTGCAGGCACAGCAGAGGGCTCAGGCGTCCTGTCCGCAGGGCGCCAGGGGCCGGACCTGGGCTCACCCGTTAGAGCCACCAGCCTGGAACACTCGGCCCTCAGGGGGAAGAGGAGGCTGAGGGCACCCAGATCCACATAGGCCACCTCCATGGGACTGGCAGTCCCAGCCCTGTCCTGTCTGTGCCTCCACTGGCCCACATGTCCCCTCTCCCTCCAGCAGGATGACACTAGAGACTAGCACTGAGGTGTCCCCAACAATTTTATTATAAAGAAAAACAAGACTCCCACTTGGTGGCTGCAGCCCCTGCCTCGGTGGCTGTGAGCACCTGTCAGAGGGGCTGACCCCTTATGCCTGTCAGTGGGCCAGAACCAGGGAAAGGGCCCCCTGTCCTGCCAAGCACAAGGGGGCCTGAGGTACCGAGGGTAAGAGGGAGGGACTCCCAGGCAGTGCTGACCCACCCAGGCCAGGTGGCTGCCTGCCCCCCACCCTCCACCCCGGGCTGACTCCCTTCCCATCATACCACGCTCTCTTCCAGCCGTTCTGCACTGCCCCCCATCCCCTGGCACCCGGCCCCAAACAGTCCCCCGTGCACAGAGTGGCTCCGTCGGGCCCAGGCCCCACCCAGGCGCCTGGCATAACCATAGCACCCGCCCGTGTCTCCCAGGTCCAGGGAGCAGCTGCGCTGGGGGCGCGGTGGGGGGCTCCGTGGCGGGTGGGTCTTCGGTGTGGGGCTGGGGCCTCCGTTGGTCTGGGATTGGACGTGGCTGAGCTTCAGGGGGAGGCGGCCATTCCCAGCCCCCCGGCCCCGAACCAGCAAGGCCACAGTGAAGACCAGTAAGGCAGCCACAAGGACACCCCCCACGGCCACAGTCAGGGTCCCGCCCAGCATGTGGGCCTGTGGGGCGTGGCACAGGGGCATGGCCGGCAGCGTTGAGAAGTGGGCACAGCCCAGCAGCTTGGTGGACGTGAGGTCAGAAGGCCCAGCGGCAGGTGACAGGGCCAGCAGGCAGAGGTCATAGTCGGCACCGGGGATCAGGTGCTTCAGCAGGAAGTGGTGGCTGGAGGCGGGGATGATCCTGCAGGCAAGGTCTGGAGGTCAGAGCCGGGCCTCGGGGTCCAGGCCCCAGCCCCACCCACATGGCCTTGAAGCCCCCGTCACAGCCCTTCCCCACCACCCTGGTTCCCAGGTCCCAGCTCTGAACACCCTCTTCTCCTGGGACCACAAAGGCCTCGTGTGTTCACTCAAGAAGATGGAGAAACCAAGACAGGCATGCAGGGATATGCATGTGTGTGTGGCACTAGAGGCAGTGCAGGGGGACAGATAGGTATGTGCTCTGACACACAGGCCCAGCACAGGCTAAGGACGGGCGAAGTATCTCATCACCAGAGATAAGTCATGTGTGTGGGGCTGGCCGCGTGCTTAATCACACACACACCAGCCTGGAGGCCGCCTGTGGCTCAGACACATGGGAGAGACCTGAGGGGCACTGCCCACCTCCCCCCAGCATTTCCCTCCTCTTCTTCCTGGTACCTGACCCTCCCCTCCCCCTGGCTCAAGATCCCCAGGCAACTCAGAAGCTGAGGAGGGGTGTGTGGAAGCCCCAAGGACAGAGAAGGAGCCAAGAATGGCCCAGCCCTGGACGGGTAGGGCCGAGGCGCTGCAAGGTGCATCCTCACCGGTAGATGAGGGTCTCATCCTCGCTGCTGTTGTACTGGATTTGGAACATCCACACAGGGTCTGCTGGCCGCCCAGGCCCCCAGCTCACCAGCCCTGAGGTGGCCGTCACCTCTGTCACCTGCACAGTTGGCTCAGTCTCTAGTGTCCCCTCGCCCTCAGCAGCAGTGCGGGCTGAGGCAGCAATGTCCGAGGGCCCGGGGCGGCCCCCCTCCGCACTGCCATTCCCACCGTGAGGCAAGGCCAGCACCCGCAGTTCCACATGGGCTGTGGATTCACCAGCAGGGTTGGTAGCAATGCAGGTGTAGTCCCCTGCGTCCCCAGAGCCCGTCACCCCAATCTCCAGGGTCCCATTGGGGAAAGCCCAGGTTCGGGAGGAGTTGCCGACAAGCCGGTCATCAGGGCCAACCCAGTGCATGGTGGGCGCAGGGTCCCCGAGGGCCCGGCACCGCAGTGTGGCCCGCTGACCCTCCAGCACCCAGAGGCGCTGTGTGTGGCGGGCGATGAGGGGCGGCTCACAGGAGAACTCGCCTTCGGGCACTGCCCAGAAGTAGCGGCCAGCCAGGCCTGGCGGGGAGGCGCACGTCTCCAGGTCGTCGGGCCGGGCCAGCCGCCGCAGCCACAGCAGCTCACAGTTGCAGTGCAGGGGGTTCCCACTGAAGCTCAGCACCAGGGGGGCAGGCGAGGCCTCGGAGTCGCGCCCCCGGGAGAAGAGTGGGTCAGGTGCCAATGTGGCCAGGCGGTTGGAGGTGAGGTCAAGGCGGGAGAGCTGGCTAAGTTGGGCAAAGGCGCCCGGAGGCAGCACGTCAATGACGTTGTGGTCCAGGTTGAGGGTGTGCAGGGCAGGCATGGCACCGATGCCAGCCCAGGGCACCTGCCGCAGGTTGTTGTAGGACAAGTCCAAGTCCTCCAGGCTGTCCAGGAAGTCGTCGAAGGCCCCTGGTGCTATGCGGCCCAGCTGATTGCCACTCAGGATAAGGTGCTGCAGGTTGACGGGGCCCCGCAGGCTGCCAGTGCCCAGCTCCACCAGCCTGTTGCCATCCAAGTGCAGGGAGCGCAAGCTCTCCAGGTCCCCAAAGGCGCGGGCCCCGATGCGGGTGATGGCATTGCGGGACAGCGTCAGGTCCACCAGCCCGGTCATGTTGCGGAAGTCTGGTGGCCCCAAAGCCTGGATGAAGTTATCAGCCAGCCGCAGCTCCACTGTCCGCCGGTCCACATTGGGCGGCACGAACAGCAGGCCTCGGTGGGCACAGAGGGTGCTGAGCGACTCGGACAGGTTCTGGCAGACGCAGGGCAGTGGGCAGGCGGCCGCTCCACTGGCCAGCAGCAGCAGCAGGAGCGGTGGGGCCATGGTGAGTGCCCTGTGGGGAAGGGCCCAGGCACAGGTGGGGCTGGTACAGGTGCCCAGGCCCAGTCCCAGGAGCCAGCTTCCAGAGCCTGGCCTGGGGGCGGGGGAGAGTCAGTCAAAGGCCCAAGGGGCCCCCTCGGGGATGAGGGAAGGCTGGGGCCTGCAGGGCCAGCCTCCTAGAGTACAGGTCACATCTCCCAGGCAGTTACGGGGAGTACAGGCTCTGGGACACGGTGAGGCCTGAGGCAGGAAGCAGAGGTGGGCATGAGAGCAGGGAGGATCCCTGAACTTCCTTTCCCTGGAATCATCAGCACCCCCACCACCCCGCCATCTCCTCCCCTACCAGGGAAGCCACCCCCAAAATCCCTCCCAGGTGCACTTCCCTCCCCCACGCTGTGCCCGGAGGAGGGGGTGCTCACCTGGTATCTGTAGTTCAGGGGGCACGGACCGGCATCCCCGCAGGTCCGGCCGGCCGCGAACTCCAGGCAGCTCTCCCGCGGGGGTAAGGCCTGGGGCTGACCAGCCGTCCACCGCTCGCCCTCCGGCCCATGGCGCTTGGGCCCGGCCGGCTCAATCGGTTCCCAGTACCTTTTCCCCGGCTATGCTCGTGGCGGTGGCGACCAGCAGGCGAGTGCGCGCTGGCGAGCACGCGCGCCGCGGACATGCACATGGAAGGCGGACAGGGAGGGGTGCGCAGGGATCCACCCTGGGCTGGCTCCCGAGGTCACGGGGACACGCGCCCACGGGTGGCCCCAGGTCACAGCCGAGGCCCAGGCCAGCTCCGGCCTTCCGCACAGCTCTCTAGTCCTGCCGCAGCGCACTCACCCTGGCACAGGCACGCGCGCCCCCGGACACCCTGGCGTCCCGGCATCCTGCACCGCACGGGCGCCCGCTGCCGCTGCTGCTGCTGCTGCTGCTGCTGCGCACACCGTCACTCTGCAGCCAGACAAAGCGCCAGCTCGTGGGCCCCTTCACCATCTCCCAGAGACAGAGCCGGGAGCCTTTGTTACATGTCGCTGGGCACCCTCCCCAACACACCCACACATGCCCACACATCCACGTCCCCGCACCCACAGGCAGGGCCGGGCGCAAACCCGCGCTGTTACTGGGACCCTCGCATTCACAGATACACGCTGAAGGTCATAGCCGTTCTGCATCACCAAGTCACGTGGAGGGTCCCCAACACGCACGGGGCCCTGGAGCGGGGGCTGGGGCGACGCCCCCGCCAGGGCTGCTTCGGGGTGGGGCCGAGGGCTTGGTCTCCCAGCTGGCGCCGCGCCCCGTTGCCTGCCCTTCCCTCCCTCCCTCTTCCCAGGCTCCCCGCCTGCCCAGCAAGCTAGGGAGCCAACCGGTCTCCGCCTCTGGTCCGATTGGTCGGCGTGGCTAGGTTTCCCAGCAGGCAGGCGGAGGCACGCTGTTTGAAGCTGTGCGTCAATGGACCTTGCTGGGCCCACAGCCCCTCCCTCCCCTTTTGGCCCCTGCCGGGCCATTTCCCTAGGTCCTAGGCCCTAGCAGAACGACCTCGGTCCCCTAGGAATCACGTCTGGAGGGAAGGGAAGGGGCAGGGGGACCCAGGTTGCCTGAGGACTAGGAGATACAGGGATGGGGTATTTCCTGGTGGGTGAGCCACTACAGAGGACCAGGGTGCTGGACCTGATTCGACCCCTCCATGCTCCTGCCCAAGCTTGGCTATCAAGGGCTAGGAGCTGGGGTCTCCCCACCCCCAAACAGGACCCCCTTTCTAGGCTAAGCCAAGTTAGTCCCAGGGAGCGTGAACTGTCTAGGGCTCAGTGACAGCCCTGAAGACTCCATCCTGCAGGAGCGAAAGAAGCCCCCAGTGGTGACTAGGGAGGAGGGCACGATGTCTTGGGAACCCAGGAGAGAACGTCCAAGTAGAGCTGTTAGCAAGAGCAGGATGGGAAAGTGCCCACTGGGTTTACCCACAAAGAGGAACCTTAATGAGAACATCACTGGGAGGGGGTGTCTGTTGAAGGGAGGAACCTTTCCAGAAGCCTGACTGGGAGGGCAGGAGGGTGGCTGCTTCATGCCCCCGTGCTGTGGGAGGTGCTTGTCTTCCTGAGGAGGAGGTAGGAGTCCGCACTTGCTCTGGGGGTGAGCAAGGAGGGAGGAGTGGGCTCAGCCCCCTGCAGCTTAGGGGGACCCTGCCAGACGGTGGGTGGGGGTGAGGAGATGGGGAAATGCCACCCCACAGGGAGCATGGTGTCCTAGGGAACTAGGAAGCTGGCCTTGGTGGCCCCTTCAGCTGGCTTCTTTCCCTGCCATGACAAATGGTGACGCCCTCCCACCCACCTCTGTTCTGCAGACCAACATCCCCTTCCTGCAGAACGTGCTCAACAACCAGCAGTTCCTGGGAGGCACCGTGGACACCCAGTTCATTGACGAGAACCCGGAGCTATTCCAGCTGCGGCCCGCACAGAACCGGGCCCAGAAGCTGCTGTACTACCTCGGTCCGGCCCCAAGACTGCCCTGCTCTCCTCTCCTCGCTGATGCCTTGCTCCTGGCCTCCTCCCCAGAGCTTCCTAGCACCCCTGCCCTCAGCCTGGTCCTTCTCCTTTCCTTTGCCTTCCTACCCAACCTCCTTGCTCATGAACTTATAGGACCCCCCCCCCCTTTTCTATCTGCATGGTCCTCAATCCGTCCTCACTGCCTGGACCCAGGAGGGCCTGGCTTTGGAGAGGACAAGGACCAGCTGGAGGGCTGGGGATCCTGGAGGAATCCCTCCATCCTCAATCCCACCTACTCTCACTCCTACCCTCAACTCAGACTCTGCCCAACCTGCCATGAACCATTGCCCACTCTCTCTACAGGACATGTCATGGTGAATGGCCCGACCACCCCAATCCCCGTTAAGGCCGACCCCAGCTCCACGGACCCCATTGTCCCTGTGGTGCCCATAGGTAAGTGAGATCAATTTTGCCAACTCATGGGGAGACAGAGGATGCCACCTGCAGGATGGGTACTAATGCCTGGTCTGCCCTAGGCCCGCCCCCGGCTGGTTTCAGAGATATCTTGCTGCGAGAGGGGCCTGAGGGCTTTGCTCGAGCTGTGCGGAACCACCAGGGGTTGCTGCTGATGGACACAACCTTCAGGGATGCCCACCAGTCACTGCTGGCCACTCGTGTGCGAACCCACGACCTCAAAAAGATTTCCCCCTACGTTGCCCACAACTTCAGCAAGCTCTTCAGCATAGAGAACTGGGGAGGTAGGCTGACATGTGGTACAGAGCCTGACAGGAATTGGGCACCCAGTGTAGCCAGGCCATTGGAGACTCTCAAGAGAAGCTGGAGACAGTAACATTGAGAGAACCAGTGAGAACTGAACAAGGCACAGCGTATGTTTGTTCAGCAGTGACTGGTGCCCAAGGCCTGAGGTCAGAGCTGTGGGGAAATGTTGATTATAGCAGAGATTTGGGTAGGGACTGCCGAAGGAAGGACACAGCCTGAACTACTCTGAGATCACTGAAGGGAAGAGTCTGTGAGGGTCTTGGTGGGAACAGGAGGGACTCTGAAGGAGGGGCTGGCATTGGGGCCAGAGCATCAGAGCTGCAAGGCGTGGTGGGGTCCCCAGGACATGGGCTGACCTGGGGCTCTCGGTCCCCGTGCAGGAGCCACGTTTGATGTTGCAATGCGCTTCCTGTACGAATGCCCTTGGCGGCGTCTGCAGGAGCTCCGGGAGCTCATCCCCAACATCCCGTTCCAGATGCTGCTGCGGGGGGCCAATGCCGTGGGCTACACCAACTATCCTGACAACGTGGTCTTCAAGTGAGCCTGGGGGGAGGGGGGTAGACACTGCATGACGTGGCCCAGCGAGTGCCAGGCCACACTGCAACGGCCTGCACTGCCCACAGCAGACACACAACCAGACTCCCAGTAGCTGCACCCAGTAAGGCCTGCTGTTTGGAAATGTTGTGAAATGTAGCATTATAGCTGGAGACCTGGACGGGCTTCTAGGTCATGGCACAGTGGAGATCCCAAGCCGGCAGGGGACTTGTCCCAGGCCGTGTGGTGCAGAGCTGGGCTGTTCAGTGCTTTCTCCCTTAGCCTGCCACTCCTTTGCAGAGAATCCCCAGCTAATCCTTTGACCTGGGCACTAGTGTAGGGCACCTTTGCTTGGTGCCAGATGCCTCTGGGACAACCCTGCCCAGACCAGGCTTCCCTGGAGGCCTTATCCAGTGTGGTGCCCACTCCTGCTCTGTGGGGGCCATGCCCTCTGCCAGGCCTGACTCTGACTCATTCCCCAGGGCCCATACTGGGCCACGAACCAGAGAAAGAAGTGAAGGGTGAGGGAAAAGCAGGATGTGGCTAACCCCTGGACTCGTCTACGCACTCAGGTTCTGTGAGGTGGCCAAGGAGAATGGCATGGATGTCTTCCGGGTCTTTGACTCCCTCAACTACCTGCCCAATCTGCTGCTGGGCATGGAGGCAGTGGGCAGTGCCGGTGGTGTGGTAGAAGCCGCCATCTCTTACACTGGTGACGTGGCCGACCCCAGCCGCACCAAATACTCACTGCAGTACTACATGGATTTGGCTGAAGAGCTGGTGCGAGCTGGCACCCACATACTGTGCATTAAGGTGCCTGGGCCCAGCCCACCTACAGCAGTCTCCCCAATTACCCATCTCCCCTGCCTCCTTACCACGTTTCCCAACTCCCCCATCATGCACACATCGTGCCCACTTACCATAATTTTCTCCTCTTCCCCAGGACATGGCAGGGCTGCTGAAGCCAGCGGCCTGCACCATGCTGGTCGGCTCTCTCCGGGACCGCTTCCCTGATCTCCCGCTGCATATCCATACCCACGACACGTCAGGGGCAGGTGTGGCAGCCATGCTGGCCTGTGCCCAGGCTGGGGCTGATGTGGTGGATGTGGCATCTGATTCCATGTCAGGGATGACTTCACAGCCCAGTATGGGGGCTCTGGTGGCCTGTACCCGAGGGACTCCCCTGGACACAGGTAGGAACAGCAGCAGCCCATGGCCATTCCCCTCAAAGCCATAGCCTATACCAGTCCCAGTAGCCTGCCCTCTCCTAGACCAGTGGTGGCGAACCTATGACACGCGAACTCATTTTTTTGATTTTTCTTTGTTAAATGGCATTTAAATATATAAAATAAATATCAAAAATGTAAGTCTTTGTTTTACTATGGTTGCAAATATCAAAAAATTTCTATATGTGATATGGCACCAGAGTTAAGTTAGGGTTTTTCAAAATGCTGACACGCCGAGCTCAAAAGGTTCGCCATCACTGTCCTAGACTCCAAATGTTCTTCCCTGGCCTTGCTGTCCGTCACTCCATTCTGAGTGGGACCTGAGCTGGTCCTGGGGTCCTGGGAGGAGCACCTGGGAGCTTAGCACATTTCCAACCCCTCCCCTGCCTCTGGCTCCCTGCAGGGGTACCCCTGGAGCGCGTGTTTGACTACAGTGAGTACTGGGAGGGGGCCCGGGGACTGTATGCGGCCTTTGACTGCACGGCTACCATGAAGTCTGGCAACTCGGATGTGTATGAGAATGAGATTCCAGGGGGTCAGTACACCAACCTGCACTTCCAGGCACACAGCATGGGGCTCGGCTCCAAGTTCAAGGAAGTCAAGAAGGCCTACGTGGAGGCCAACCAGATGCTAGGTGACCTCATCAAGGTAAGCCAGGCCGTGTCCTTACCTGTGCTTCTGGGCTTCCATAAGGTGCCTGGCACTCTGATCCAAGGGCCTTTCTCCTCAGGTGACACCCTCCTCCAAAATTGTGGGGGATCTGGCCCAGTTCATGGTGCAGAATGGGTTAAGCCGGGCAGAGGCCGAGGCCCAAGCAGAAGAGCTGTCCTTCCCCCGCTCTGTGGTGGAGTTCCTGCAGGGCTACATCGGCATCCCCCATGGGGGATTCCCTGAGCCCCTTCGTTCCAAGGTAGGGAAGACCCAGCACAATGGGAGGTGCGATTGGGTACGAGAATTAGGTCTGATTCTCTGCTGTGCTCCCCAGGTGTTAAAGGACCTGCCAAGGGTGGAGGGGCGGCCTGGAGCCTCTCTCCCTCCCCTGGATCTGCAGGCACTGGAGAAGGAACTGATAGAGCGGCATGGGGACGACGTGACCCCAGAGGATGTGCTCTCAGCGGCCATGTACCCCGATGTCTTCACTCAGTTCAAGGACTTCACTTCCACCTTTGGGCCTGTGGATAGCCTCAACACTCGCCTCTTCCTGCAGGGTCCCAAAATTGCAGAGGAATTTGAGGTCTGTGGCTCTGGCATCTTTGTACACTCCAGCCCGGGACCCCCCACCCCCCAGCACATCTAGAGTGCCAGACTGGCCTGGCTATCACTGGGCCTTGAGAGCTATGAGTACACAAAGTACCCTTAGGAGACCAGGGAACTAGGCCTTTGTTAGTAAGGAGCTGAGACTCAAGGTGGGGACTTGCCTAGGGCTGTGTTAGGGGGCTGCTCTCCCCATACTTGCCCCTTCAGCTGAGCTTCCACATCCTCCCTGCAGGTGGAACTGGAGAGGGGCAAGACACTGCACATCAAAGCCCTGGCCGTAAGTGACCTGAACTGGGCTGGCCAGAGGCAGGTCTTCTTCGAGCTCAATGGGCAGCTGCGGTCCATTCTGGTCAAGGACACTCAGGCCATGAAGGTAAGGCTCCCCCTGTGCCAGCTAGGTGGTGGGGATGGGCAGGGCCTGGTGTTTCATGTCTCCTCTGCCACCTGCAGGAGATGCACTTCCACCCCAAGGCCCTGAAGGATGTGAAGGGCCAGATCGGGGCACCTATGCCTGGGAAGATGATAGACATCAAGGTGGCAGCAGGGGACAAGGTGGTCAAAGGCCAGCCCCTGTGTGTGCTCAGCGCCATGAAGATGGAGACTGTGGTGACCTCACCCATGGAAGGCACTGTCCGCAAGGTCCATGTAACCACAGACATGACACTGGAAGGTGATGACCTTATCCTGGAAATTGAGTGATCTTGCCTGACTTGCAACCTGGCCATCCCCAGCCCAAGCCTTCTATAGACGCTGTGCTGCCAGGGCAGGCCCAGGCCAGCCAGTGCTGAGTGCAAGAAGGCTTGGCCCTGGAGCTCCTGGCCTCAGCTGCTTATCGCAGGAGACAATGCCTGCAGTGACCCATCCCCCTTCTCCAGCCATCTGTCCTTTCCCTGTTGGTGGACAGCAGCTCACATATTCACCTCTTGCCAAATGAGGGTCCTATCCTTGCTGGAGACTAGAGGTGGTGGCACAGGTGGGCCTAGGATCCAAGAGAGCAGATTTGGGGGGGGGGGGGGTCCTACCTTGGAAAGGGGGTTAGGAACCTGGGCCCCAGGTCTTGAGAACTTTGCTCAATAAAACTGACTTTCACCTGCCCTCCATCGTGGCTCCTTTGCAGCCCACCCTACATGCCATTCACAGAGGGCAGAGCTGCCCCTTTGACTCCCCAGGCAAGCTGTATCTTCTTCCTTGGAGGGTAGTGAGGATAGCAGTAGTGGCCTTGATTTAAGCTACTACTGAGTACCTACTGTATACACACCCAAAAATTACTGAGAGCTTGGGGTGGGTGGAGGAAGTGGCTCAGGTAATCAACCTTTCCCCGTTTTATGGACACGGATGGAGTCATAGGAAGGACCCCACAGCTAATAAGAGGCAGAGGGTTCAAAACTAGGCTGCCAGTAAACTTACTTCCCAACCAAACTGCTTTACATTCTAAACCCTGGGCCAACCTCGCACCCCATTGTTTTAGGACTGGATGCAAACAGGCACCAGTTCTGGGAAGCAGGCGAGACCCTCAGTATAGGAACCTCCAGGTATGACAATTTTGGTGGGAGGCTGGGAGCACTCGATGGAGATTCTTGGGATCTAATGCAGCCCACCCCCCATTATTAGCTCTCAGGAGAATCCTATCCTGAGCCCGTTCCCCACCAGCAGGGTGAAACAGTAACCCTGCCTGCACCACTGTACTGCTGCCACTGCATAGGGAGGTGAGGATGGTGGGGGTGGGGGAACAGTTCCTGAGAAGGAATGAGAGGAAGAGGAGGGGCAGAGCCTAGATACCCTGATTCCCAGGGATCCATCCTAGCACCCTGCCAGCTCAGTGCTCCCAGGGTATTATAACCTAATCTTTGGTCTCCAAGATCCCAAAGGTACCCTCTGAACAGGTCTATGCTCACCCCTTCTGCCTCCAACAGCTGCTGCACAGAGCTCTCCACAAGGTAGGTGTGTGGCAGCCACAGCCAGCCTGAGGGCGCCATGAGTAGTGACTGCACACCCGTTTCCTTTCCTTCACCACCAGCCTCAGAGAATGGGACTCAGAACACCCTCCTAGAGTCTGGAATGGGACCTGAAAACCATTCTAAAAATAAGAGGAAGAGCAGGTTCTAAGAACCTTGAGTTACAGCACTCTCTTCAAGGCCTTTGTTCCGGGTTCCTCCAGGGACAGACAAGCAGCATGGTGGCAGAGATCCACGATGGAGACAACTAGAACAGCCTCTACTTCCATGTAATCTGAACTGGTTCTTCTAACGTTTTGGGTCTAGTTGCTCTTACATAATTCGAGGCTGGTAGACTTTGGGGAGATCCTGGTGGAGGCGACCCTCCCCCCACTCAGGAGACACAAGTTGGAGGCTCTATCACTGGGGTCAGGGTGCTGGGTTCCACTTCCTGGTGGCCAAGTCACAGGCCCTAAAATGAGTGGGCCCACACCTGGTACCTACAGTCCCAGATCCACCTCTGCTAGGACTTGGAGCCTGGCTCAGTAAGAAGGAAGCTATGAGACCCAAGTCAGACAGAGGCCCCCATCCTGTCCCCCTACTGCAGGGAACTGTCCCTACCAGGCATACTCCCAAGACTCCAAACAGACTAATTCCCAAAGGTCCAAGGCCATGTTACCCAAGTTAAATCTCTTTAATATCCCAATACAAAGTCCTGATGCAAAAAGACAGTGAGAAAACCCTGGGAAGTTGGGGGAGAGGGGTTTCTGTAAATTCTATCCCTCAGCAGCTTTTCAGGGACAGAGGAGCTGAGAAGCAGCAGTCCACAGTGAGGGAGGGAGCGCACAGCTCCTGGGGCCTGCTCCTCACTCCCATTTCAAGAGGGGCTGCGCCCTTTGGCTATCTGCTCCTTTCTCTTGGTCCCTGGGATTTAACTAGCTCTGGCTTCAATCCCCTACAAAAATTCCTGAGATCTCGGGACCCCAGCCAGCTCCTCCCCTGCAGTACCCCTTGATGGGGAGGGGCTGCGGAGCCCATGAGAGTTCATAGGTGCACAGGAGCATGGGTCAGGAGCACAGGGGAGCCTCTGAGTCCCCTGCTTGCTCCAAAAGCACACAAAGGGGAAGACTGCCGTAGAGCTTCGGGTCCGTAAGGGGCTGAAGTAGAAGCAGGAAGAGTCCTACACCCAGGGCATAGCCTGCCAGCAGGGGCCGCCTCTGTGGATGCTCCAGGGCTGCACATACAGCAGGGAAGCCCATGTAATTGCAGAAGGAGTGGCAGAGAACTGGCCCAATCAGGTGTCCTGGGAAAGGGAGACAGAACAGCTCTAGAGCAGACCCACCACCTCTTCGGGTAATTACCCTCATCCCCTGGAACAGGAGATCAGTGTCCCACCTGTCCACCCACACACCATGGCCTCTGCTTGCTTCCACCTCTCAAACCTCACCAGGCTGAGGGCGCTGCCTTAGCCTGTCTCAAGGACTGTGGTTAAAAAAAAAAAAAATTGCTCATAAACACAGTTTTCCCATTCTCCCACCTACTCCTGTGGGCCCTTAACACCTGGGCATCGTGAGGGACTGGGACCAACCTGTACGGATGAAGAGGAACGCAGTGTAGGCACCAAAGACAGCTGTGTAGGAGAACTGGAACGCTGGAAACAGGGAGGCTATGAGTGACCACACCTGCATGCCCTTCCTGTCCCGGCACTGTACACCCACCAGCCAGAATTCCCCTTCCCACTGGCGGTAGTGACTACCTGCCCAGCACCTGTAGCTGACCTCTACACCCCAAATCCTGGCCCCTCCAATATTATAGCCCGCTGTTCCCAATTCTTTCATAGTAGCTAATTTAGGGACACCCTCACACCCCCCGACCCCCAATCCAGGATTACCCCAGGCATGCTCTCTAGGACTCACCTGCAGACAAGAAGATGCTCCCCACACTGCTCTGACGGAATCGAAGCTGCTCAAAAATGTGGTGAAAATGGGCTAGGAAGAAGGCGAGAACCACATCACATTGCTCTCAGCCTGCCCTCTATGCCCTACCATTGCCCCAAGCCCCATTCTCAGCTCTCATGCTAGGAACATCTCAGAGGACCAGGTTGCACACTCACCAACTCCAAAGAACAGTGGGCAGGTGAACACGGCAGGGCCCAGGCCCGTACACGGTGCTAACATGGGCAGCATGCAGGCCCGAAACACTAGCTCCTCTGTAAGGGGCGCAATCACTTGGTTCCGAAGCCAACGCATATCCATGAGGCAGCGGGCCCAGGAGCGAGGGGCTAGGGAGGGGATTCAAGACAAGCAATGAGTGGCTAGCTATTGAAGAGACCCTAGAGCAGCGGTTCTCAACCTGTGGGTCGCGACCCCTTTGGCGGTCGAACGACCCTTTCCCAGGGGTCGCCTAAGACCATCCTGCATATCAGATATTTACATTACGATTCATAACAGCAACATGACAGTTATGAAGTAGCAACGAAAATAATTTTATGGTTGGGTCACCACATGAGAAACTGTATTTAAAGGGCCAGAAGGTTGAGAATCACTGCCCTAGAGGCCTCCCACAATCTTTTCCTGGCCAAACTCAGGTTAGGCATGCACACTCAGAACATGTAAGGGTCCAGCTTTGTTTATCAGCATTGTCTCAAGAAGACAATGGGAAGGCCATTAGTAGCTGAGGTAGGATATCTGGAAACATCAAAATCTGCCCAAGACTAACTCTGCTTAGAGAAGCCGAAGGTTAGGGGAAATAGAAATGCTCTCTAGTCGACACCAAATACACTTTTAGAGGTCCCTAGGAGGATCCCTAAACATCAGAAACCAACGCTTAGAGGACACCTGCTATATGTTCCCATCTTACTGATGAGGAAATATAAAACATCTCACATCTCATGTTCAGGTCCCATCATGACTCCCTCTGTCCTGGACTGCCTGCTTACTTTTTCCCTCAGCCCTGAGGACTCACCTAAGACAACCTTTAACCCATCTGCCAGGTCACAGGGGCAATCCATTGAGAGCTGCATCAGTGGGCCCAGAAAAAGGATCTGGAGACACAAAAACAGGAGCAATCAAATGAAAGGCTTCAACTATAATCCACTGCTTTTGCCCAGAAAAGGCCTCAAGTTTCCTAGTCTCAGCCGGGATTTCCCCCCCAATGCGTACCCGAGGGCCTCGAGCCATCTCACAATTCCTGTCTCCCATCAGGCACATACTGGACACAAGCAGGGTAAGTAAAAAAAGTCACAGAAAGGAGCGTCATGCTAATACAAAGCACAGAGGAGGAAAGGTAATGGAGGACTCACCATGGTCAGCAGCAGGGGCAGCAGTGCTGCTGGGAAAATGCCCTCCAGCCTGAAGCCCATCAGCGTGAGCAGGGGTGTGCCTGGCTGAGCCACAGGAAAGGAAGCATCAGTCTTGCTCCCTCCCCCAAAGACCCCTGCGAGCTCTCCCCTGTTGCCCTCTGCCCCGCCTCCTTTGCACCTGGATGCCTGTGAGTTCCCTCCAGAGTAGCACGCAGAGGGGCGAGAGACTGGACACCACTAGGACACTGGTGAAGCGCCGCTTGATGACGGCAGGGTGGTCCCTACGGAGGGGGCATTAAGTTCAGGGGCCCAAAGTCGCCCTCCAACAGCGCAGCCCCGCCCTCAGTTCGCCCAAACTCCGCCCGCAGCCCGCGGCCCCGCCTCGTGGAGGCGCGGGTTCCGCCGCGCGCGCAGCCCCCGCACCTGGGCAGCTCGCTCTTCCAGACATAGAGGCTGCCCACATAGGAGCAGGCGAGGCTGAGACAGGAGAACACAGACACCCAGCAGCACAACCCGGGGCCCGGACCTCCCAGAGCCGCCGACTCGGGCTGCCGCTCTGGTCGCGACACCGACAGCAGACGCAACCCGTCCCCGCCCAGCGCCGCCATCGCGCCCGGACCGCGGCGCGCAACCGTGACGCCACCGGCTGTCTCGGCCCGCGCCTGCGGGAAGCTCTGGTTACGTCATCCGGCGGCGCGGGTCCTCGGCCCCGCCCTCGACACGGAAGCAAACCAGAGCTCACGGAGCAGGTTTATTGAACAACAGACTACACGTGTCAACAGCTGCCAAGCCGACGCGGAGGGGCGGGGGAGAGGCCTGGCTCAGGGGCTGGGACTCAGCCACTCGGACAGGTTGGAGACTTCCTGCAGCCACAGTGCGTCCTGCGAGAGGAAGCGGGGCTCGGAGTGAGGACGCCTCGGTAGCGGCCGGGTCCCCGCCCTCCCCTGCGCAGCCCTCGCCTCATTACCTCCGGGCCGTTCCCGGGGTCCGCCCTGCTTCCGCTGGGAGTCATGGAGGCCTCTGACGGACTCGGGGCCCTGGCAGAGGGAAAAGCCCATGTTCCCTCCAGGACCTGTTGGAGGCTGCCCTTCTTAAGCTTCTTGTTGGCTACTTGCCCGCTGGTCCCTAGGAGAAAACACACACTCATCCCTTGGGGGAAACCCGGGGGAAAGGGAGGCGCTGGGGCCAGCTCTCAGCTCTCCCACCTCAGAGCTGTTCCTTCAGTTCCTGTCCTGATCAAAACCCAGCAGCCCCAGGCCTTCAGGTACAGGCTGAGGCTGCAGAATGGTATCACGTCTCTATTCCGCCTCAGTTAAGCCTGAGAAGGGGCGTGTGGATTGTACCAAGCCCTCACTTGGGACTCGGATCCACTTGATCACTGCACAGATTCTTCGTGGAGTTTACACTTTCCAGCTCCTCCCTCCCTGCCAAGCTCTGATTCTCCTGCCCGAAATCTGACCTCACTTCTCTCAGTGTATTGGGCAGTGCCAATAGGCAGCCTTCCTATTAATTGATTCACTTGTGCAAATTTAAAGCACTGTTTTGTCCGACAATGCATCCTCGTTAGAGACAGATGAGCCAGGTTGCCTGGGTTTGATTTCTGGCTCTGCCATTTATTAGCTGTGTGACCTCGGGTAGGTTTATTAACACCTGGGCCTCAATTTCCTCATCTGTAAAATGAGAAAATAATAGTACCTATACCTAGGTATTATTTTGAGAAGAGCATTTATACATTTTAAAAATTCAGAACAGTGCCTGGCACCTACATCATACAGGTTCAGGCACCAGTGTCTATGGTTATTTCCAGCCATTTACATGTATTCATCCCTGGCCCTGCAGTATGATCACCATCACATCACATACACTGACACCTCCCCATAATACATCAAAGTTAAGGTGGTGTCTGCAGGAGCAGCCTCCAAGAGCCCCAAACAGATTGGTAACCAAAACTAAGGAGTTATAGTATCAATACTAATAATCAAGAAAAGACATGAACAAACTGGATTCAGGGCCCCACCCCATCATGCACATCTATAACTACACAGGCTATGAGAACTTGCTAGTCCTGTCATATCAGCTTTTGAGATGGAATGCCTTCTACTGCCCCAGAACACCCATAGTAGTGGTGGGAGCCAACCAAATCCCAGACGGAAACTGCTATGGTGAAAGGTTTGAAGGCCTTGAAGTTATGCTTTTTTACTTCCCAGCTTTGATCCAGAGCTGATTGAAAAGCTAAAACCTTACCTGCATGGAGCTCCGGGCTGCTGTTCTCATGTGCACCCTCTGTGCCCTCCTCTGTATCATTTTTCTCTGGGTGCAGTTGCTTAAAAAATTAGAAGTCCTAAGTTAGTTTTGCAGAAGGCTCATGTGAATCCTCTACCCACCTCCAACTTCCAAGGTTTCCTTCTGCTAGAGCCTTTGCAGCTTCCGCCAGCATTTCCTTACTCCTCTGAACTCTGGCCACTCACCTACTGTCTGCCCCACTTCTCAGGCTCGGTAGTAGCCACTGCATGCCCCTGTTCATTATTTTTATATGTCGATGTCCATTTTTCTCTGTCATAAACTCCTTGAAAGGTAAGGTTCATCATGTTTACATTTCCTTATATCTAGCATAGTACCTTGCACAGGGTAAATGCTCAAAAAATATGACTGACCACAGGGCACGTTTTATAGTCCTCAGTAGCCTTTAAAAGCCCTGCCACATTTGGTTGCATCTGGACAGAGAAACAAAGATACTAAGATCAAAACCCAATTCTAGCTCCTTGTTTTTCAAGAATACAAGTGTATAAAAATAGATATCTTCTTCAAAGTTTAAAATTTTTGCGCTTCAAAAGACACTACAGAAAGTGCAATGTCAACATAAGAATGGAAAAGATATTTGCAAATCATATCTGATAAGGAATTTGTATCAAGAATAAAGAACTCATATAACTCAGCAATAAAACAACAAATAATCCAATTAAAAATGGTTTGACAAAGGAATTGAATGACATTTCTCCAGAGATACATATGCCCAATATGCACATGAAAAGATGATTAACATCATTAGTCATTATAGAAATGTAAATCAAAACCACTATTAGATACTTTATAACCATTATAATGATGATGATAATAGTAGACAATAACAAGTATTGGTGAGGATACGGAAAAATTGTAACCATTATATAGTATTGGTGGAAAAGTAAAATGATGCAGCCGGTTTGGAAAATAGTTTGGAAGTTCCTCAAAAAGTTAGATACAGAGTTATGACCCAGCAATTTTACAAACATATCCACACACAAAATGTTTATGGCAGCATTATTCATAATAGCCAAAAAGTGGGAATAACACAAATGTTCACCAACTGATAAAGGGAGGAATAAAATGTTGCACTTATCCACGGCCTCATTTTCTGTGGTTTCAGTTACCCATGGGCAACCTCAGTCCAAAAATATTAAATGGAAAATTCCATAAATAAGCAATTCATAAATTTTAAATTGCACACCATTCTGAGTAGTGTGATGAAATCTCATGTTGTCCCACTCCATCCCACTTAAGAATGAACCCTCCCTTTGTCCAGCATATCCACACTGTAGACACTCCCTGCCTGTTAATAGCCATCTTGGTTATCAGATTGACTGTTGGTGTATCACAGTGCTTGTGTAAAAACATTAATTCATTTAAATGAAAAGGTATGCATGCACAGGGAAAAACATAGTATATATAGGGTTTGGTACTATTCCCGGTTTCATGCATCCACTGGGAGTCTTGGAATGTATCCCCTGTAGATAAGGGGGGACTACTATACATCCATACAACGAAATATTATCTATATATATAAAAGCCTAAGCGGCCATTTGACCGTTCGACCAGTAGGTATGATGTGCACTGACCACCAGGGGGCAGGCGCTCTTACTGGTAGGTTAGCTTGCTGCTGGGATCTGGCCAATTGGGGCTGGGCAAGAGGGGCCGAACATGCCCTGGATGAATCCAGGCCGGGGGACCCGACTGGTGCAAGAATCCATGCACTGGGCCTCTAGTCCAACCAACCATAAAAAGGAATGAAGTACTGTTGCATGTTATAACATGGATGAATCTTAAAAACATTATGCTAAGTGAAAGAAGTCAGATAAAAAAGGCCACTTACTGTATGTTCCATTTATATAAAATGCCCAGTATAGGCAAATCCATAGTGATGGAAAGTAGAATAGTGGTTACCAAGGAATGGGAGTAGGAGAATTTGGTTGCAAATTCTGCAAATCAGGTACAGGTTTTCTTTTTGGCATGATGGAGATATTCTTGAATTTAGTGGTGATGGTTGCACAAATAGTAAATATGCTTAAAACTACTGAATTGTACAATTTAAAATGGTAAAATTTGTGGAACATGAATTATAACGGAATAAAAATAAATATTATATCATACTGTTTACTAAAATAGGTTTCCATTTCTAAGTAATTATATTCCAGGGAACATAGAAGGGGTAAAGATGGCCCCAAAGATGTGAAAAAAGAAATAGCATTAGGAAAATTTCCAAACATTTCCCCCCTCCACCTAGTCCCCATCCCCCACGTTTTTTCTTCTTTGAGATAAAGTTTATTCTTTTATTTCACTCTAGCCTAGAAAAATCTCATATAATAGATAAACCTCCTATCTTGATATTGGTCTACAAGGAAATACCCACATTCAGATATAAAGCACTGAGGCTCAGAGGAGCTTGTGTACCCTTCATCAGCAGGTTCCCAGATAAGATGGACCTAGCTATCCTTGGATACACCTCCTTGGATTTAACACTCTGAGACATCTAGTTTTGCTCTCCCCTCCACCCCACCCCAGATTACAATACTTTTCCTTAGAAAGCTGCCTTCCTGTTATTGATTCTACTTGAGTTTCAGTTTTCAGTTCCTACATACATCTGTGACACGAAGCCCTGGAGTACTATCTTACCAACTGCTTCACAGCCCACTGTCTGCTGTTTCAATACCCAAGCTGAAAATCTCCATTCCTGGCATAACCTTTCCCTGCATATATTCTATAAAACTCTAAAAATATATTCTCTCATTTCTTCCACCCTCCATAAGCTATATAATGGCCATAGATGGTGTTATTCTTTACCACTCCAGGGGTTAGCACTTCTACTTTACCCGTTTAGAAATGGAAACTGAGGGACTGGTTGGTCTAAAGCAATGGTTCTCAATCTTCCTAATGCCGCGACCCTTTAATACAGTTCCTCATGTTGTGGTGATCCCCAACCATAAAATTATTTTTGTTGCTACTTCATAACTGTAATTTTGTTTTTTTATTTTTATTTATTTTTTTTTTTGTAATTTTGCTACTGTTATGAATCGTAATGTAAATATCTGATATGCAGGATGTATTTTCATTGTTACAAATTGAACATAATTAAAGCATAGTGATTAATCACAAAAACAATATGTAATTATATATGTGTTTTCCGATGGTCTTAGGCGACCCCTGTGAAAGGGTCGTTGGACTCCCAAAGGGGTCGCGACCCACAGATTGAGAACCACTGGTCTAGAGGTAAAAGAATTTGACCTATCATTGATCTTGTAATTTTTAGCTAAGCCACTGGGTGCCACTCTTGTGCCATTAAAAAGTTATCACTAGCCCTAGCTGGTTTGGCTCAGTGGATAGAGAGTTGGCCTGCAGACTGAAGGGTCCCAGGTTCAATTCCAGTCAAGGGCATGTACCCAGGTTGCAGGCATTGGTC